GTCATTAAAAATATTAAAAAGTAATTTAATGTTAATTACTAGCATTTATAAGACAGTAAAATTAAGAAAAATGGTATGACAAGCAAACTTGCCCAGCACCAGTGCATGGAAATTGGGAGTGAGGCCTGCTCACTCGGCGAGCAGTGCAGCTCCTCGAGGCTCGTTTGGTCTTCCTCAACTGGAGAGGCAGTGAGAGTCTCGAACTGGACAGGTCCAGCGCCATTCCTCTTTTTATCTGACAAAGTACTTCATTTAGCCACTCTGGAAGAATTTATTTTCTTGATATCAAATGGGCTCAGAATCAAGGTCCCATTTTTGAATTTTCCAACCTGTCCGACCTGTCCACTTGACAAAATACTGGGAGCCGGCTTCTTCTTTTTAGATTTCCTACATTCAAGGTGAGAAAAAGGAATCATGCAGTTAGGTGTAGGAAAAAGCACTTCAGGCCACCACAGGCTGCCTGGCCCTCCTGCCTCAGGCCCTTTGCAGGAGGAATGATCTTTCCAGGCTGTTCTTTCCCTCTACACAGTTCTCCACCTGGATGTCACCTCCCTCTAAGTGATTCCTAGCTCTCTACCAGTCATCTCCTCTCAAGACTCTGTTCCAGCCTCTTCACAGGACTTGCCAGTACCTAAGGTCACCCTGCTTGTCTATCTGTCTGCTTTCCTAAAGCCAGCCTTGGTGGACAAGGGTCCCCTCAGTGTGACCACAGCTGTACCAACACCTATACAATATCACCCATGTGCCCAGCACACTGCAGGCACTGGACAGACAGACAACCTGTCAATGTGGCCATAACGAATAATCACTTTCTGGCATGGACAAGTGCACAAGGGGTCTAAGGAAAAGGCTAAGGCAGAGAGTCTACTCTTCTAAAGCAGAAGCTGGAAGAGAGGAGGAGGCACCTGAATGGAAGCTAAGAAACAGGCACAAGGCAACGAACGGCTGGAATCAGTGTTCCTTACTGAATCTCACGACGCTCAGCTGTCTACAGAATGGCAAAGATGGGCAACACAGACCTGCTGTGTGGTACACCAGTGACAACACTCAACTTCTCCACTGGTCACCTGACACATGTGGTCTCTGACAACCAGAGATTGCAGAAGATTACAAGTTCAGTTTTGAGGCTGTTTGGTCTTTGGAAATTTACTAAAAGCTACCTTCCTCTTACAGACTTGATCAGGACACCAAGGCAGAGAAGCCCTCTACCAGCTGGAACCAAACACGAGACACTGGGTCAGAACTAGGAGGCTCAAGCCAGGCAGTCAGCCCCGGCACCTGCAGATATCACTCACCTATCTTCCTGTTCTCTCCTCTTCTTTTTCTTGAAAATATCTGCATCCTGGGCCTGATTTCAGAATTGAAGATAAATAAATGCGTCAGTAGTGGATAATGGAGATTCATAAAAGGGCAAGAGGTTTGTGACCAAAGCCACCAACATACCACTTATTTTACTAATTTTTTCAAGTGGGAATTAAATATACAGTTTCAAAGACTCATCTTAAAACCCTTTCAATAATGCAAAAGGCGGGCTGGGGATTTAGCTCAGTGGTATCTCACAAGATTCGCAAGCACAAGGTCCTGAGTTTTATCCTTAGTACCAAAAAAAAAACAAAAAAAAAGACAAAGAAAAAAAGCACCAAAAAGACCATTCCAGATAAGACTGACAGTCTTATGCTGAAAAGCCAGGTCACTTCCATTTCAGATGTAAAGAAGGGAGTGTCACATCAATTGTTTGTGGTTTTTCATAGGCCTTTGTGTGCTTTACCGTGTGAAATGTACAAAACGAAGAGGCACTGGAAAGCACCCAGCACTTCCTGAGAGAAGCTTGCTACTCCAAAGCTGCCCTTTCCTGTCAATATGCTAGATTCTTCGGCTGGTATCACAAGATGCAGCTGACGCGAAGTGCAGGGAATTTCCCATGCAACTCTGTGCTCTGACTTTTTTGTGGACAGTGGCCTCCATCCAGCATGTCACTGTGGCTGGCTGCATCCATCTTCCTGTTCTATTGACCAGAGTAAAGAATAGACTACAGCATATTATACCTACCACTCTCTTCTCTTCTTCCTTTTTTTCTTTGATTTGCTCCTGCAAAACCTTGTAATTCACGTAACTATTTTTGGGAGGCTAAAATGAAGGAATAAGAACATATATCATTATATTTTGTTCCACAAAAATGTCCCCATGTCCCCTGTGCTGCCCTGGACACCCCCTACCCTGCACCCGCCTGCCATAGAAGGTGCCTCTCACCTCAGCACCCAGCATGATGGCTCGTTCCCGTTCCAGGACTCTTTCTTTTCCTTTCCCGTAGCCTGTGATCCCAAACCGGTGCACTTCCAACCGAGCCTGAGAATACGAAACAGAGTCCAGCCCCAGTGCGTCCCAGTGGTACCACAGAAGAGGCATACCGCCAGGTAACACACTCCAGACATACAGTACCACCCCAAAAGCAAGGGTAATGTATCTGCTGCGGTGTGGCTGAAGGACTGCAGTGGAGGCTCTCCTTCCACACCATCATTACCCTTCTCCTTGGTTTGACAACCAAAGCCAAGAATTACCTCTGCACAAGTTAGAGACAGAGCTAAGAAGAGCTGTGCAGTATCCTAGGATGCTCTGTCCAACAAGCCATCATCCAGAAAGGCAATGGTTTCAGCTGAACAGCACCTTGCAGACACACCCACCTCCACTTCAACCCATGGGTCACAGCAGTTCATAGGCAGACCGCATGTTCAGAAGGAAGAGAGCATTACCAAAACCCACACTCTTGGTTGTTGAATTACCTTCTCCTGTTCTTTTCTGTTGTGGTTACGTATTTTTAAAACCTGCTACAATGCAGAAGATATCCCTGCCTTTTTATCAGCAATGATAAGATAATATAATTGCTACTATGGCTGGAAAATTGTAATGTATTAAATGAGTGTGATAGTTAAGTCAATGTGGTGAGATTTCACTTAGCCATTTCTTTAGCCATTAGACATGTAAAATATTTGGGATTTTTTTTGTGCTATAAATAAATCTGTAGCCAGGAATGTAGCTCAGCGGCACAACACCTGCCTGGCCAGTGCAAGGCCGAGTTCAATTCCCGGTACAAAAAAATAAATAAATCTGCAAAAGTATTATAAATTTTATAAATTTAGTAAACATCTAAATTAATTATAGATAATATAACAATCTCAAAATACATACCTTTTCTAGGTTAAATTCTTGAATACTTGTGTCTTTCTCTTGGATACAAGTTTTAGTCTGCAAAGAAAAAAATTCCTACTAACATTATCTGTTTAAAAAAAAAAAAGGGTTGGGCCGGGGATTTAGCTCAGTGGTTCCACCACCCGCCTTGCAAGCCCAAGGTCCTGAGCTCAATCTCCAGTACCAAAAAAAAAAAATTAAATTAAATTAAATTTAAAGAAAGGGCCAAGGATTTAGTTCAGTGGTGCCATGCCTACCTCGCCAAGTGCAAGGTCCTGAGTTAAATCCCTGGTACTGGAAAAAAATAAATAAAATAAAATCATCTGTTAACATATCATTATAGATTGATCACCAACAGAATGACATATTTTCAAAACCCTCACCCCCATTGGACTGGCTACTACGAAAAAAACAGGAAATAACAAGTATTGGCCAGAAGGTGGAAAAACTGGAGCCTCTGCTCTACTGGGGGGAAGGGAAAATGGTACCGCTGCTGTGGAAAACTGTATGGCAGTTTCTCCAAAATTACTATACAGTTGAGGACTTCCACTTCTGGGTATACACAGAGCTGAAGACAGGGGTTTTTTTGGTACTGGGGATCAAATTCAGGACCTTGCGCTTGCGAGGCAGGCGCGGTGCCACTGAGCCAAACTCCCGGCCCTGAAGACAGGGTTTTGAAGAGATCTGTACACCTATGTCCAAGGCAGCACTGTTATAATACTTAACTGTGAAGCAACCCAAATGTCTACCGGTAGGTACATAGGTAAACACCATGGTGCATCTACACAAAGAGGTGTTACTTAGCCTTTGTAGAAAGGAAACTCTAAGCCAGGCACACACCTATAATCCCAGCACTCTGGGAGGCTGAGGCACAAGTTCGAGCCCACCCTGCCCAACCTAGTGACTTAGCGAGACCCTGTTTCAAAATTTGAATGTAAAAAGAAAAAAGGGTTGGGGATGTAGCTCAGTGCAAAGGCCCTGGCTCTGACCCCCAGTACTGCAAAAAAGAAAAAAAAAAATCTCAGCTGGAGGATGGTTCAGGAGGAGAGCAACTGCCTAGCATATGCAAAGCCCTGGGTTCCATCCCCAGCACCACAAAACAACAACAAAAAAGGAAATTCTGAAATAAACTACAACATCAACAGACCTTAAAGGCCTTATGCTACATGAAAAAGCCAGTCACAAAAGAGCAAATATTGTTACAATTCCACTTACACAAGGCACCTGGTATAGGCATATTCTCAGACAGAAAGTAGCACAGAGGCCGCCAGGGGCTGGCACACCACAAAGCTGTGAGGGGTTTGTCCTTTTTACCCACCCCAGAAAGTCTTCTATTCCGTCACTTGGAAAAACTCTCATATTTACTTTGAACTTCAGATATCTTTTTCATTAGCATGTACATCTAATCTATTTAAGATAATGAACAGTAAGATACTTTTTCCTTTTTTTAGCAGTATTGGGGATTGAATCCCCAGTACTAAGCTACATCACTAGCCTTTTTTCTCAACTTTTTTGTTTTTTGGTACCAGGGATCAAACTCAGGACTGTGCGCTTGCGAGGCAGGTGGTGAAACCACTGAGCTAAATCCCCAACCCCTTAACTGCTTTTAAAACAAGCTCTTGTTAAGGTACTCAAGTTGGGCTCGAAGTTGTAATCCTCCTGCCTCAGCCTCTGAGAGTCCTAGAAGCAAGACACTTTTGAAGGATTAAATGTTACTAATATCTGGGTCATAACTAAAACTTCAAAATACAAATTTAATATACAAAACAACAAACCAAAACATCCCTGTATACTGCCAGGAGATTGCCAGAATCCTGTGTGGCTGGCTAACTACTCCCTCTGGAGTTGAATTTTCTTTCAGGCACACTGCATATCCAGCAATCCTAGGGACGTCTCAGATGCTCCTGCTGATATGTTGCCAGGAGACTGGCATGAGAACAGAGCCATTTATGAAGGAACAATCACTGGGGTAAAATTCCCGTGACAGCTAGAGACCCCTGGGCCCCTCAGAAGAGGGGCAGTGGCCAGCCTTTGAGAGTCCCTGCTTTCCCCAACAGAAACCCCATAGCATACCCAGTCCCTGCACCACTGTCCAGTTGCCCTGGCTGTGGGGACACCAGGCTGGGGCCTGCTAGACCAAACGCAGGGCAGGGCCTGGGGGGGCCTGTCTGGCCTGGACACAGACACCTTGATGTCCACATTCCTGAACATTTTGCCAGAAACATCCTAAGTTTTGTAGCCGTCAATGTGTTTCTGTGAAAGGGCCTAAGGTCTAGATCCTGGAATATACCAAATGCAAACATTTTTCCAGGGAAAAATATCTTGGCTAATTACTTTGTGGATGCTGTCTATTAGCATGATTCCAATACTGTCTTTTATTTATTTATTTTTCCTTTGTCACCCTGGGGGTTGAACTCAGGACCTTTACACTGAGTTACATCTCCAGCCTCCAGACTGGGTCTTGCTAAATTGCCTCGGCTGGGCTCAAATTTGGTGATCCTCCTGCTTCAGCCTCCTGGAGTCCTGGGATTACACTGGGCTCTAACTTTTCACTGATAGCTTTAACATCACTTCAGGGTGTTATTCATAATACACTCCCCACTTCAGAAACCATGGTGAGAGGCATTACCGTCAATCTTGGGAAATGGCTTCCCTGCCTGCTTGATGTTAGTCAAGCCTATGTGTTCTCTGGCCAAGGAATGTGAGCAATGGGGATATCTGCCTCCTTGCACACTGAGCCCTTCAGAGCCATTCACTACTTAGTGAAGGAAGGGGCCTGTGGCCAGATGTTAGCACCCATCACGATGGTCACAAAGGCAAGAAATGGCCCAGATATGGAATACAGAAAAAACTCTTACCTTTTAAACCACTGAGATGTAAGCTACAGCCTGACCCAGCAGTGGAGAACCTATGGCACACGTTACTGTGTTTCTCTTTAAGACAAAAGATGTTAATGTACGAGTTGTTTTTTTCTAAACTAATACCTCAGTATTCAGGTTTAACTGTAGTGCTGGCACTTTGTGATCAATAAGTGGGTTTTGGGTTGCAGTTTGACACTTGGTCTCTAAAAGGTTCACCGTTATGGTCCTAACCTATCCTAATTCATCTGGCCATTCCGTCCCATACAAGGGAGAGAGAAATGTTGGGAGATTTGGACAACTTGTATGTTAGGCAAGGAAAAAGGAGGAAAGCTATAAAAAGAGAGTTTGGGAGAAGAGTAGGGGCAAGGGACAAAGATAAGCCGACCTCCAGCATCAGCAAACCTGTTTATGAGCTGACTTGCTGATCAAGAACATCTTTTTTTTCTTCCACAGCTTGGATTTTTCTTTAATCTATTAATTACAATGTCAAACCTGTCTCTGATCAAAGCAGTGAAGTAAACACTTTTTAAAACCACAGGCAGGGGCTGGGGATTTAGCTCAGTGGTTCCGCCGCCTGCCTTGCAAGCACAAGGTCCCAAGTTTGATCCCCGGCACCAGAAAAAGAAACAACAACAATAAAAAAAACCACAGGCAATTTTAGGAATATTAAAAGTTTGTTTACACTTTGAGTATAAATTGCCTCAACTACTGTACTTTTTTCCTAACACCAATTTGACTCCCAACTGGGGAGTGTGGTACAGAGAGAGAGGGTGACACTGGGGCCTGGGGGTGGGAGTGGGGTAAGGACAGCACCAGGGTGGCAAGTGCCTGCATGTAGTCAGCACTGTCTGACAATAATGTCTTATCTGGTGATGATTCTGGTTCCTCATACTTTCTTATTCAAAGCACAAAGAGTCTATACCTGATCTCTGTGGAGCAGTTAAGTACATTGCCTTGAAGCCAGAATCCATGAGGTTGAACCTGAACTTTGGCACTTACATCCTTTATCTGGATGCCTTAGGATCAGATTCCAGCTTTGAACTTTAAAGATGTCTTCACACTTTTACAATGGCAGTACTGAGTAGTACTGAATTTATATGCCACTTCTAATAGGCTGCAAGCCAGCAACCCATAAACACATACATGGATATTTCTGCAGAAACCTCTATGAATAGTCACCTCAAAGGTGATGAACAAAGTCTCAAGTTTTTCTGCCAAATATATCTGTACAATCTTAAAAAGAATACAACCAATGTCATCTATGGCACTCTGAGTATTTTGAGTTGCAAATATTGTACTGTGGGGCTGATGTTTAACTGCAAGCAAGTAACATTATTTTTCTTTGACCCAACTCCTCTGTGCAATGAAGCCAGGTCACAGGAATAGGAGGCTTAAGTGAGATGCTGGGTGGGTTATCAGATATGGATAACCAGTATGGGTACACAGCAGGCACCCCCAAACAACAGCAGCTCCTGCACCTGAAGCCACCTTCATGCTTGGTCCAGGTCAGACACAGGAGCCCCTTCAGAGCTGCAGCCCACCATTCTGTTCTTCCCATTACAGTATACATATGCTTCCTGTGCCTTTTAATTTAGGCCATGAAGGAACAGGTTCCTAAAACAGGGCAGTGAATGAGCTGTGCTAAGATGGACCGATGCTGGGGGTAGAGGGGGGACTGACCCAAGCCCCAAGGGCCAGGCAACACTTGGATCACCTCAGGTTGTACCTGGTGCTTTTAATGCTTGAAGAGGTTAAGAATAAGCCAGGCTTGAGTTCAAGCCTAGCCTGGACAACTTAGTGAGACTCTGTCTCAAAATAAAGCTAAAATGGATGGGGATGTAGCTCAGTTCAATTCCCAGGACTGTAATGGGGGCGACAGGGTGTGTGTGGGGGGGATAAGAATGTTCTTTCTCCCAGGCAATCCTGCACCTATTACAGAGTGAGTTTGCCAGGAATTTAGCTCAGTGGTTCCACCACCTGCCTCACAAGCGCAAGGAACCGAGTTCGATCCCCAGTACCAAAAAAAATAAAAAGAGTGAGTTTATGCACTCCTTCCTCAAGTCCAGGCTGCCTCATTTCACATCTGGACCACTGCACCAAACCCTCACTCAGCCCCCTCATGCCTTTTTATTTATTTATTTTTGAGACAGGGTCTCACTATGTAGTTCAGGGAGGTCTTGAATTCACTATGTAGCCCAGGCTGGCTTCAAACTTGTGGCAATCCTCCTGCCTCAGCCTCCTGAGTGCTGGGATTACAGGCGTGCACCACCATGCATGGCCCCCTCATAGTTCTTGCTGTTGCTGGCCTACAACCTAATTCTTTCAGAAAGATAAAGACCACTTCTTGCCCTCACTTAAAATTCTCTAGTGGCTTCTCATTATTTACAGCTGGAAGGCCTCACCACTGCCTTTTAGGTCTGACAAAGGCTGGTCTTGTCTGCATCAGCTCACACTGCTGTCCCCTCCTGCTGGTCTCCCAGCTCCCTGTACTAGTCAGGTGTTTCAAACCCTGCTGGGAAGGCTGTTTGCCCTTGCCTGTGTCATTCTTCCCTGTCTCTTTCTAGAACCATTTAACAGGGCATTTGCCTGAATGGGACCTCTTCAGATACTTCCTTGACCACTTGACAGTGCTGCTACGTGCAGAACCCCAACGGTTTCCTTTAGAATGTTTGCAACTCTTTAAAATTATAACTTATCTGTGGCTTTGCCTGATGGAAATGCACACTCCACAAGGACAAAGACCTACACCTATTCGATGCAGTGTCTCTAAGGACTGACAAATGGGAAGCACCCAATTATTGGTGGGGTAGAGGAATAAATAAGTGATCCTTTACTTAGTATTTCTTGTGAAACTATGTCTATAGACATAGACACTCATTAAAAGTGAGACATGACCAGGAAATTCATCTGTAGGCTAAACATTTGGAATGAGTAAAATATTTAAATAAACAGTAGCCACGTTCTCAGACAAGCTCACAACAACCTGTTACAATGCACAACCCAGTGTCACACAGAACTTATGGCTCAAGTAAGCACTGGGAGAAGGAGGTCATTTTCTGTGTTCAGGCAGGACAAGTTAGCTGGACTGCTGTCCAATTCATCACCACCTCTCCCTTCCCATGTTCTTTCTGAAAATGACTGGCTGACTCCAAGATTATTCAATGGAGGCCATCATTATGTTATCACACATTTCGGCCAACACCAGGTCTGTCTGAACTGTCCTACAATGGCTTACATATTTTCAGAACAAGGACCAACATACTCTCCCACATTATCCAAACTCTTAGCACAGCACTGAATTCTAATCAGCCCCAACTGACTTCCCTTTACCTGGAATCCTACCTTCAGGAGGTACCACAGCAGCCAGCACCACATTCATTTGCACCTACTCACATGCCAAAATCCCAACACCTCAAAGTCTTCCTGTGGACAAATATACTTTTACTGGGTCCACATTTCCTTTCTTTTTTTCTTTCTTTTTTTTTGGACCTTGCATTTGCCAGGCAGGGACAGCACCACTGAGCTACATCCCAGCCCCTACACATTTTCAAAGGATAAATTTTTTAAAAAGGCAGGGCCCCAGGGATTTAGCTCAGTGGCTCTGCGCCTACCTCACAAGCACAAAGTCCTGAGTTTGATCCCTGGTACCCAAAAAATAATAAAATAAATACAATATAAATAAAAAGAAGGGCAAAGCATCAAGGACAAATGGAAAATTTCTTTAGGCTCAAAAGATTCAAAATGCAGAAAAAGCTGAGGTTCCTGAGAAAACCCAACTACAAGGAAAGCTGCTCACTTGGGGCAGGAAGAAAAAGACAATTTGACAGCCTGCCCCAGATGTTCTATTACCAAGACAACCGGGAAATGCACTCATTCAACACTAACTTTATTTCTGCCCTTTCTATTAGTAAGAAAACTTGCCCTTCCAAGTGAGTGTAAGAGGAAACCAAAGCCTGAGACACTCAAGGTGATGAGGGAGGATGCCCAGATACTTCCTACTGGTGTAATACTCCAGAATTACACTGCAACACAGTCTTTCTCATCTTTTTTGCATCATGGCATGCCCAGAAAATGATAGTATCTGTACAGTACTCTGGGGTAACAAGAGGTGGTCAGCTTGAAGGCTCTGGCTATTGTGTCCCAAGGGCTATTTTTTGGCCCACGTGTAACAGATCCCAGTGACCCAGTATTTGTAGCAGAAGAGTTGGGAAGCTGACTCGGAATCCTAAAATAAAGGCAGATATTATTAGATTGTTCTAATAATCTTCAAGGAAAAGATGTTAGTGAGCTAGATATGAAGTGCTACCTGCATTCTAGAGGAGTACATAGGTGGTTTCTAAAACAACAAGGATGTGGCATAATACTGGGCACTAACATGAATTCATACAATTCATAAGGAACAATACCTTAACTACCTCTGTAGTGGGTGGCACTGTGGCTTCCAAAAGATGCAGCCATGTCCTAGTCTCTAAAACTTGTGAATGTGACCGTATTTGAAAAAAAATCTCTAGAGTATATGTACATTAAGGATCTCTAGCTGAGATCATCCTGGATTTAAGAGTGAGCCCTAAAACCCAATGACAAGTGTCCTAATCAGAAAGAGGCAGAGAGAAATAGGAGACTCTGACCTATCGGGATGAACACCAGTTAACGATAAGGCAGAGATAGTGGTTATGGAGCCACAAGCCAAGGGATGATTGGAATCACCTCTTGTCAAAGGAGCAAGGAAGGATTCTCTCCTAAAGGCCTGAGGGAGCATAGCTCTACCAACACCTTGACTCTGACTTCTGGCCTCTAGAACTACAAGGCAATAAATCTCTGTTGTTTTAAGTCACCAAGTTTGTGGTAATTTGTTATAGCAGCCTCAGAAACTACAGTGGTACCTTGGTTCATGAACTTAATTCGTTTTACGATTTTGGGGAAAATGGCTGTGGTTGTGTCTGTCACTTAATGAGGAGTTTGTGAATGGAAGCGAAATTTTGTCGAACGGTTTTGAGAACTGAATTGTTTGCAAACAGAAGCATTCACGAAACAAGGTATTACTATAATAGAATCCTCATTTTTTTTTTTTTTTTTTACAGATAAAGGTTTATAATACTTAGGACAATGCTAAAGAGAAATGGGATATTTAGATTTTAGCAATGAATGTGATGAAGCCATTAGGATATTTTGGTGGGGGAAAAAGTTTGGAGGAGCAACTACACTTCCTCTGTGGACTGAATTTTTGGTCAGATTTACACATTCAGTCTGACACAGACTTCTAATCAGGAAAATCAAATTGCTTTTCCAACAGAATCTAAATTCCTTCAGAGTGAAGATTACTGTACATTTTGTTCATTGCTATATCCCAGTGCCTAGAAAAATGGCCACCACATGGGCTGGAGATTTAGCTCAGCAGAACCACGCCTGCCTTGCAAGTGCAAGGTCCTGAGTTTGATCCCCAGTACATCCCCAAAAAAGAAAGAAAAATGGCCAGCACATAGTAAGAATGTCTTGCTCCAAGGACAAACAAACACAAGGCTCAGCAATGGGAAAGCAAAAGCAGAGCAGGCCTGGGTTTATCAAACCCTGAAACTCCCAAGACAGTCCTGTTTCTACGATTTCCTGATCACTGGCTCCTGAAGCAGACTCTTCTGCAGATCAGTGTTTCTGCATACATGAGGTCTTGAGCCACTGCTATACCAAATCTACCTGGTATTTACATCAACAAGATTTACAATGAACACCTGATTTTCTCTGGAGGGCTAGAACTTGATAACTAACATCAGTCTATCTGCCTGTGTGGGTGATAAGAACTATGTGCTAAGCCCTGTGAGATATTTAGCAAATCCTCGGGCACTCCTGATACAGTCTATAAAAGCAGTCCCTAAGACCACATCAGGGGATCTCAACATACACAAACAAGCCAACCAGTGCATTACCTTCGTGTATTCATCTTGATCTGGCTTCAGTTTTCTTTTTTTATTTCTGCTGTGAAATTCTACCACTTCCACTTGCTCCCTGTTGTTTTGCAGGGGAGAGGGTGATCCTGTAGCAGCAGAGACTTCTGCTTCTGAAGGGGAATCGTGGGAGGTGACTACAGGAGCACAGTTCAGCTCTTCTCTCAGTTTCCTGAAAAAGCTGGAAGCACTCTTTTTCTTGCCTCTTGTGAGAGAACCAGCCAGGGTTCTCTCTGCTGCCACAGCCACTGTAACTCCATCTCTCTTCCTACTGTCTCTCTTCTTTCTGATTCTCTTCTGTTCTGTTTCATCTTCTTTCTCTCCTGTTTGTTCAAACACAAAAAGGAAAACAAGTATTTTCAGTTTTAGCTAATACCAATATCAAATCATATGAATGCACTTATAGCCACAGCTATAAGCACCCAGAAGTACACCCAAAGACATAAATTATTTATTTTTCATGTAAGGTGTATTTCCAATTTATAAAATCCAAAATACTGCCATCTTTTCCTAGGTAAGATTTACGTCCTTGACCTTTATTGGCACAATTACGCTAGTCCTCACCTTAGTCTTTCCTCAAAGTATCACCATGGCAACAGTCCCCAGGATTGGGAATCTCAGTTGGCTCATCCTTTGCATTAAAAACAACTGCTACTGAAGCCAGTGTTTCAACACTTTCTAAGGCTGAGGGTATGTGTAATGGTCTTCCTATTTTCCTTCAGTTATGAGTTAAGGAGAATCTAAGATGATTGGTTTAATATGAGTATCTTTTTTTTCCTACTAAACATCCACATCCACTCTTCTGTTTCATTTACTCAAACTCTAATCAATCACCTGAAAGCTCTCCCCATTATTCACCGACAGAACAAACACAAGAGCTCTCTAAACATCAGTCTTTTACACAATAAACACTTATTAAGAGGCAACAAAAACTTTGGCACTAGAAATATTAAAGTGAGTAGACCCAGTACAGGCCTTCAGAGCTCTTAGCATAACGTTTTCCAACCTGTGTGGACATAAACTGTATGTAGAATTTTTCAGAACAGTCTCTCTTCCTCTAGATTTTAATTTCCTCAAGGTCAGTGACTTGATGAGGTCTTTTCTGTTCTCCAACATTTCCAAGGGTGTCACGATGCTCTGTCACAAGGCAAGTCAGCACAGGATACAGGGCTAGACTGTGAGAGCTGGAACCTAAGCTTTCCAAGTTACCGTAGCAAGCTTTTTAAAACTCTAGAGTTCATTTCTACACTTGCAGTGATGAGATTAATGACGGTCTCTACAGGAACAATCAGAAAGTTGTTCTGAGAATCACGGGGTAAATACATAAAAAGCATGTAGTATACTGTAAGATCTTCCTCCTTTAAGCTGTCATTCTTACTGTGTAGGCGAGTTTAAAATTTTGAGCAAAACAAAGCTGCGTGTGTAGCATCACTGTGAATCTAAGAAGTGTGTTTGCTTCTACAAAACACGAACGTCCATATCAGCTCTTCAGAATACGAAAGACCGTCCTGCTAAAGGGCCAGGCATTTGCCAATCTTCAATGATGAGCTTTATTACTTTCCTTTCCCTTAGTAAGATAAGCGAAGGAGGCTGAACGGTCGGCCAACTTGGCAGGGGGTAAGGATGGGGGCTGGTGAGGCCAATGTATTGGCCAAGGGCCCGGGAGCCCAGAAGGCCTGGTGACCACGAGTACTGCGGAGGCTGAGCCCAGCCGCGGGGGGGAGGGGGGGGTCGGTCGCTGCGTCCGCAGTCCTCCGCGCAGTTCCCAGGCAGCCTCGCATCTGGGCCAGGACACTGGCCCTCACTCACCCACGTCGTAGAGAGTCTGCAACAGGGCGTCCAAGAGCTTCTCAGTGCACTCAGGCGCCTCACAACCTGGCTCTGGCAGCCTCTCTGGCGCCATAGGGAGAGTAATGACACCAGCTCCGGCCCACGTCCCGGTACTTCCGTTTCCGGCTCCGCGTGTGCGCGGGCGCCACAGAGCCCCGCGCGGCTTCCGTCCTAGTTAAAATGGCGACGCCTGGGGTCCCGAGCGGCGGCTATAGGTGCCGCCACTCTGGGCGAGGTCAGGCCGCCCCGCGCGGAAGAACCGCCCCCAGCGGCTGCACTGCCGCTGCGTAGCAGAGGATCCCAGGCCCCGCCCTGGACGGCAACCGCACCATGGACTCTCCGCGCCTTGCTAACTCCCACTTCTCCGCCAGCTCCACCAGTCCCAGCGCAGTAGTGCTCCTCTACGCGGTAGGCTCCGGGGAGGTCGAGGCCCGGGGCAAAGCCTTGGGGAAAAACCCCTCCTCCGTCCCCGGCTCATTGCCCCTGGCCCAGAGAAGTGGTCCAGATACCCCGGTTAGGTGCGCGTCTTGGTTTCCACGGCAACGCTGTGCCGCTAAGCTCCTCTGTAAACGCGCGTTGCTTTTGCAAGTTTTCTCCAGTGGTAGTTCTTTGGCTCCTTTCCACTCGTTTGTCCCTTTCTTCCCCTCAAACCCTAAGCCTCTGGACACATGAATGTAAGAGGAGAATTGGAGGCTCTGGTATTTGGCGAGGGCGTGTCTGGCACACGGAGAAACTGCGGGTCACACCCAGCCGGCATGGCCCGCGGCTCCACATCCTCTTTCGATGCTGTGACATTATTGGGAGAAAAGTATGCAGTTTATGAGTGAGGGTAGAGGTTTTGAGTCTCTAGGACGATTTAGAACTTCTGAAAGCTTTTATTGACTGCTTTTGTCTTCTTTTCATCATTGCACTTTTTCCACAAGTCATTTTGGAAGACAGACAACCAATGCCATTCAGCCTCCCTCCAACTTACTTTCTCACCCCCAAACCCTTCTTCCTCTTTTGGTTTTAACGGCCCCTCCCCACACACAGGAGAACGTTGGTCACTCAGTTCTCATGAAGAAATTGCAAGGTGGAAGGTTTGTATCTCTTGGGATTGCACAGTGCTGGGGCAACAGATCAGGTTTTGTTGTTTTTAAACTACTGGATTAATTTTTATCTACTTTAGGAGGAAATAAAGAATGCATTTTAAAGGCATATTTCCACGTCCAGGCAGTCAGCATCTCCAAAGCCTTACTCTCTCTCATTAACCTCGTCACCCAACAGTTCTTTGGTGGAAAGATTTCACCTTTGTTATCTAACTGCCACTCCAGAACAAGCATGAGAGGAAGGAGGCTGTACAGATTCCACTCAAATTAAGTTGCTTTTTTGGTCCTAAACTGGTTTATGAATTGATTGGAATTTTCCTGTTGTATATTAAACAAAGGACTTGATTTTTTACTTTCCCCTTTGATGATTCTTGAATGAACAGACTGTTGTCCACTTTTTCATGTGAAAGCCTAAGGCAATGGCATGGGAACCCTCTCCTTTCCAGCGTTGTGACTGCCTAGCCTTACTTTATGATAACCTTTTCTTACCACTTCAAGCTGCCCTTCCATCCTCACCCACACAATTATTGTGTAATACTTTCTGTCTAATCTGAAAGTAGTACTTTAGAGATATTTAAGATACTAACGATTGCAGCACATATTAGGAGTGCCTACAGTCTCCTAGTTACTATACTCAATGTCTAAAATACTTAAAGGAGTTGCAGATCCAGCCCTTACCTTTAAGGACACAAAAGTCATAAAAGTAAACAAATAATTACAAGTAAATGGTGTAAGGGCAGTGCTGAAGCGTGCACAACATGTGGGAGTAAAGAGAAGCAGTACCTGGTTTGTTTTGGGATCAGAGAAGAGTTCTAAGAAAAGATGCTACTGAACTCAATTTTTGAAGTGTGAATGGTAGATGAGGGAGACATTGATGTAAGGAAAACACTTGCACATGTGCAGGAACTGGTTAAGGGGGTATGGGAGGCAAAACTAAGAAAATAGGCAAAGGATTTTTCCTAAAGGAGTTTTATATATCACCTTTGCACACCCTTAAGGATAAAATTTTAGTTTTATAGGAAACCATTCATACTTAGAACATCTAAGGCTACTAGATATTTGTCATGATTATCTATGTAAGTAATCGCTCTTACTTTAGTAGAGATTGTTGAAAGACAAATCAGGATGAGGAAGAAATCTGATGGATAACCATGAAGATCAAGTAGGACACTGTTGCACATGTCCAGAAAAATGACAGAAGGCTAAAGTAAGGCTGTGGTGGTGAGGCTGGGAAGAAGGAAGGTCAGTGAATATTTCTTTGGTACTTAGGACAGTAAGTCATCAGCCCTTGGAACCAGTTTGATGTGGTGGCTAAGAAAAGTTTTCTGAAGTTGACTGTTGAGTTTCTGATGTTGCCTTTTGATAGGAAGGAAGAGGAGCAGGTTTAGTCGGGTAATATAACACTATCTACTTGGGATGTGTTCAGATTGAGATATGAGATTTTTAACTTGGGGGGGGGTATCATGTATGGATTAGTCATATCTTAAGTGTTGGAGAATAGAGTTGGAAATATGGCACCAGACCAAAAGAGGAAGGTATGGCCTGAATAGATTCGGCAGACATCAGCAAATAGGTTGCATCTGAAGCCATAGATGTGCTTGAAATTTTCCAGTGAGACATGGGATGAAAAGAAGCCCTGGCACAGTAACCCAGATTCTGGACCCCTGTTAGAGTCAGAATGAAAGGTCCAGTACCTTACAGTGCCCCATAAGACTCCACAGGATCTGTTGCTACTCTGACTGTGCTCATCTCGCCATTGAGCTTCTGTCAGCCTGGGCTTCTACTTCTCAGCAAACATGCTCTCTCCCCAGAGTGCTCATTGTCCTCATTGTGTGACACAGTGTGTTTTCCCAGAATATTGCATTGCTAGCTCTTTCTGTTACTAATATCCCAGCTCACATATCATCTCCTCAGCAGCCGTTCAGTCTAAAATAGCTCCAATCACATCCGCATTAGGTGCCCCATTCTGTTTGTGTTACCTTCCCAGTGGCTTGCTACATCAGTCTTGTACTGGCCTGCTGGAGCAGTTAATAAACCTTCATGAAATTTGCAAGCATATTGTTAAAATACAGCTATTATTAAAAATCAAAGTTGAAGTCAGTGCAGTGGTGCATGCCTGTAATCCCAGTACTTTGGGAAGCTGAGGCAGGATGATCACAAGTTCAAGCCCAGCCTAGGCTTGAACCCTGTCTCAAAATAAAAAAATAGGGGCCGAGGATTTAGCTCAGAGGTTCCGCCACCTGCCTTGCAAACGCAAGGACCCGAGTTCGATCCCCGTACCAAAAAAATAAAATAAAATAAAAAAGAAAAAGGGCTGGGTGTGTAGCTCAGAGCAAAAGCCCTGGGTTAATTCACCAATATTGCCCCCCTATAAAAGATTAAGATACATAAATTTAGTTAAATTGTATTAAAAACAAAAGTAAATAGCACCCAAAACTTATAATTTCCTAATTATTTTGCTAAATTTTACCATCATCTGCCCTGGGAGGCTGTATATCAAACTAGAAGGTGGAGCTCCTATATAGCTCCTATATAACCTTGTGCGGCGGTACAAGTTTCCCAACTCTGACGGGTGAGGTCCTGCTGTACCCTGAAGTTGCCATATGGGAGTACATATTCTACAGAACGTGGCACATGCTATAAGGCAGGGCTCTGCTGTGGCAACTCTGAAGGGTTGAACACTGATGAGCACACTACTGGTGGTATCATTAAATGAACTGACCTGGTTTTTGTGTTGTCTGCCCTTCCTTAAGGGGTTGTAGCTCTTAGTGCAGTACCTGCCTGCCTGCCTTGTGTGTGCTGTATGCCAAGTGCCTCAATTGCTTTCTCTTCTTGGGGACACAATACTGGATACCCACAGCTTAGAGGAGGAGAGGCTTATTTTGCCTCACATTTTTAGTATATAGCCCACTGGCTTCCAGGCGGGAAGGGTTGGCCGAGAAGACATGGCAGAGGAGAGGTGCTCAAGGGGTGGTGAACAGGAAGCAGAGTGAAAGGAGGATCAGGGTGGCAGGGGAGGACCTTCCAGGCCATTCTCCCCAGGATCCACTCTTTCTGACAGGACCCCACCTTCTAACAGCAAGTCAGCTATAAGCCCCCATAGTCCAGCACCTTCCAAAAGCCCCGCCAATGAGTGCATGAGGCTCTTGGGGGCTGTCCAGATCCAAACCATAACACTCAGCATATAGACCAGTGCCTGGTCCGCTCATGTTTACAGTGACTCTGTGGATGGGAATGGATCCTCCAGGGCAGTTAAGAGAGAGGCTTGAGGAAGGGGTTGTCTGGCCTCCAGTGGGGAGAGGCCTGCTGTACAAATTGAGACCAAGAGAGGTATTTCAGCTAACTGTGCCTTTCTACTTGGGCTGTCCTTTGTGTTGTGTTCCTGAGTGAGTCGCCACGCAAGTGTATGTGCTCCATGACACCAAGTACTTCTCCAGCATGTATGGAGAAGTTCAGTTAATAAGCCCTTAACCCAGTCCTGCCTGCAATAGGGATCACTTGAAGTACATTAAAAAAAATTCTGATGCCCAGGCACTGCTCACAGACCTGATTTACCAGGAACCTCTAGAAGTGGGATCTAGGATCAGTATTTTTGAAAAGTACCCCCAGTTATTTTAATGTACAACTTGGATTGGACATTGGATTAGAGCCACATTGGAGAAGTTTTGTGTTTTATCCTGTGAATATCGGAGAGCCATCATCAGTAGAATTCAAAACGTAGCTTCATTCGGTAATTGATTTTTTTATTCTACAATGACTGAGTTCCTACTGGGAATAAAAGGTACAAAAATACGTAAGACCTATTACCTACCTGGATAAGAAGTTCACAGTCCCTTACAGAAGGCACCAAATACAACTTTAATGAAGTGTTTTAGATTACCATCTTGAAAATCCAATTATTGAGGGTTGGTAAAGACTTAGAGGAGAGGATGGCCAGTTCACTGTAGGTAAAGGGGAGAGTCAGGGAATGGTACGCAGAAGAAGGAATACAACTGATGAGTGATGGCTGAGTGTTTTCCAGGTGAACAGTGGAGAAAGACATTTGTAAAAGCTCTCTCTCAACAGCTGGTACCACCATGCACTGGTAATTCATAACAGAGACTGTCTGTCTTGATTGCCACTACATCCCCAGTACAAATTACAGTGCCGCACATACAATACTGCGCAAATGTTTATGAATGAATGCTCTTCTCAGAGGGAGCAGCTTGAACAGAGATCTGAGAGCCCAGAAATGGCGTAACTTGCTTATGGAGCTGCAGGTGTTTGCATAGTGAGACATAGGAGGAGGGCCTGGTAGCAGGAGATCATGAAAAGCCTGGAGTTGTGGCTAAGAGGTGTGAACTTTGGAAGTAACAGGGAGTCATGGAAGGATCGCTGATGATTATATCTCGCAAGCTTTCTCAAAACACACATATCTGCTACTCTCCCTTACAGGTTCTTGCTTGTCTGGGGACTCTCCTCTTTGTATTCCCTGCCAAATCTGATCCTTTTCTCCTTCCATTCTCAGAATCACTAAATGGGAAGTTTTTAACGTCTCTTTTAGCTTTCAGTTTGTTGCAGTCCAAGTTTGAGATGCTATAATTACATATGATATTACTTTATTAATGATACTCATGAAATTTGGGAAGATTCTGTGACCTTATAAGACCTTATAAACAAGAGTATGTGATTGGTTATAATGGCTGCAGCTTTACACAAAAATTGCACCAACATGGCCAGATGTTGGAACAATAAAGAAGAAACAGACTGTTTCCTCAAGATAATTGCTTTGTGTGTGTGTGTGTGTGTGTGTGTGTGTGTGTGTGTGTGTGTGTGTGATACTGGGGATCGAACCCAGGGCCTTCACACTGATCTACATCGCCAGCCATCTTTATGTTTTATTTTGAGACAGGGTCTTGCTAAGTTTCCCAGGCTGGACTCAAACTTGCAATCCTGCCGCAGCCTCCCAAAGTGCTGGGATTACAAGTGTGCACCACCACACCTGGCTGGATAATTGCACTTAGTAGAGAGACAGATGCAGACAATGACTGTGCATGGGATGCACAGTGTAACAGATGTGGTGGAAGGTAAAGAAACCCTGATGAGGGGTGACTGAGTCCTGTGGAGCTCAGGAGAACCTTCACAGAAGAGTGCTGCATAAGCAGGGACACAGAAATGAAGGGAGGGTGGGGTTTCCAGGCAGATGTGGAAAGGCTTAGGGAAATGGCAGCAAGGAAGCATACTGGGACCATGCCATCCACTTGCCCACATGTTGTGAGCCTTGGCGGCATTACCTGGCACTACAAGTGGCCTGAATCTTATTCTGAAGGAAGTGGGAGTCATTCAGGTATTTTAAGCAGGGAATAATTTGATCAAAATTATGATTTGAAAAAAACAGGATGGCAGTGTGCAAGATCAAGTGAAAGGGTGAAGGTGAAGAGACCAGCAGGAAGGCTATTGTGGTAAAGAGCACAGACTGGGAGCCAGGCCGGGCAGTGCACACCTGTGATCCCAGCACTCTGGCTAAGGCAGGAGAATCACTGTAGACTTCTTAGAGGAACTGGTGTGGGAGCATTTCCTTCTTGAGCAATTTTGCCTTTTGTTTGCATCATGTGGGCTTACTTTATTTGATGTAATAAGGAGGTCTGATTTGTGTTTTGACTTAAATTTTAAAGCTAAGTGGTAGACAAATTTGTCAGTGAGGTACATAAACCTTTTAAAATTGATTAAATTACTCTAGAACTTAATGTCTTGTTCTCCGCTGTTTTTCTAAATTTTTACAAAGACAGTAATCGGAAATGTGACTGTAATGCAATATCATTATATTGCTCCTAATAATTGATACATTTCTTTTTCTTGGTATATGAAAATCTAACATCACAACACTTGGCTCTTGTTCAGATGCTGTAGGACAGTGTTTTTCTGGACAAATAATGTTAATGTATGAGATGTTTTTTCTAAACTAAAACCTCTCTATTCAGGTTTGGGTTGCAGTTTGGGGACTCGGTCTCTAAAAAGTTCACCATCACTGTTATAGAATAAAAGTTTTGGCAAAGGTAAAACCTTACCAATGTAATCTCCAGTCTGCCCTTATTTATTTTACAATACAGGCTCATTACTTTCATTTTGCCTTATCCACAGAAAGAGCTCAAAAAATGGGACGAATTTGAAGATATGTTAGAGGAGAGGAAGCATGTCAGTGACTTGAAATTTGCGATGAAATGCTACACACCTCTTGTCTATAAGGGTATTACTCCTTGCAAACCAAGTGATATTAAAGGTAGTGTTCTCAGTTCTGAAGAGATTCATTATGTCATTAAACAGGTAAGTGAGTCCTTCAGCCCCAGCCAGACATTTTCATTGTCACCAGTTCCTTCCGGTTTCCCTGAATTTATTTTGTAATCTCAAATATACCTTTTTTTTTTTTTACCTTCAGCACTTTGATCAAACACCTACCATACCCATGATGTGTGTTCACTCCCTTGCTGGGCACCAGAGAGCTAACCTTGTATAGTTGGTCACAGCATGTAGTCCAGTAGAGAAGTTACCCTGAAATATGATACAAGACATGCTAGTGAGAGCCCAAGGTGCAAGGGGTAGTCATTATTTACTACTGAAGTTAATTTGCTGTAGGGAGTCAGGGGAGTGGTTTTGTTTTTAAAAGAGGCCAGAGAAATGATTCTGGGTTTTTCAGGTGAAGTAGGTGAAGAGTTCCTAGCATGGCAAGTCACTTATTCCCATGGTTTCAACCTTCCACATAAGAATTACTTGGGAGCTTTAAAAATCTCTGCACCTGTGTCTCACCCCTGTGGGTTAAATTAAAAATGTCAGAGAGAGCCTGCATGAGTAGTTTCACAAAAGCCCAGGCAATTCCAAAGTATAGTAATGTTTGGGAGCCACTGGCTTGTTTTCAAGACTAGAGCTAAGGAAGAACATGCATTTTCACAGTACTGAAAGCAGTTCAGTGTGACCAGTCCAAAGCACAAAGCAGGGGTTTGGAGAGGTGTGCAGAGCCTTTCATGAAAGGCTCTGTAAACCACTTAGAGGAACTGGATTTTCTCCTACCTATTGTGCAAAACCACCAAGAGCTTTGAAGATAGAGGGTGACATGATCACCCTCTTGCAGTGATCTCCAGGTGCCATCATGATAGCCTGGAGTGGGATGTGGTCATAGGAACAGAGAAATAGGCTTCTGTAGTTTGAGATATGGAGTCAGCCTTACTTAGTGATGGGGTGGGTGTGGGAAGTGAAGGAAAGAATTAAGGATGATAAAGCCATTCACTACGTAGGAACTTGGGGGAGCAGGTTTGGGAGGAAAGCAGTTTCTAGGATGTGTGATTTCAAGACCTCAGAAGGGAGGTTCTGTAGGCAGGATTAGAGCTTTCTGATGGGCAGCCCTCCATGTCCAGGTGCTTATACAACCATAGGTCCCCAGGTGATGGGCCTTAGCCACCTGGCCTGATACTTGGCCCCTCCCAGGTCCCCACCTGCCTGGCTGTAGTTTCTGAGAATGCCTGGCTTCAGTTTGTTAGCCATGGGTTCCCATTGCTCCACGGCACTGTTTCCTCTCTGGACAGAAGAGAACATAGTCTCTAACAAGCTCCTCTAAGAAATATGGGCTGGGGATTTAGCTCAGTGGTGCTGCCACCTGCCTTGCAAGCACAAGGTCCTGAGTTTGATCCTCAGTACCAAAAAAAAAAAAAAAGAAAAGAAAAGAAATATGTATTCCCCTCTTTTTCTTTCTGTGTTTGTTTGTTTTGTTTGTCCTCTGTGAATGGTATAGAGGAAGGCACATGTGCTACTCGTGTGTTTTTATAAAAGAAAGAAGGGACACATTCAGAAATGCAGTGTCCTCATTTAGCTGCCCTGCTGCTTTGGTTGGTTGTGGAGATGCAACTTATTCACCCTCACTGTAGACAGAGCTGCTGCTCCTAGCCTCACCTGTGGATTGCTCCTGTCTCTGGTGGGTTCACATGTGCTTGGCACAGGGCTGTAGATGTCCACTCGTGCCGAAGTCATCTCAAAGCTTATTTCTGACCTCATGGAATCTATTGGCTTCTGGCTGATGCAGAGGAGGACAGAGCTCAGTCTTCTCTGGTGTGCATGCCCTGGGGTGTATGTGTAGAGACCTTGCTTTTTAAACTTTTAACTGAGTTTAATGCAGCTTATGGCCTCAGGAAAATTCTCCTACCTCTGCCTTCTGATTTCACTCTTGTTTTGAACATTTTGCCCTGTGCTCCTACTCCCTTTGATTTAATTGGCCTTTAGTATCATGGAGAAGCTATCAGTTTTCTCTGGTTAGGCTTACTTGTAAGTGAAGTCAAATTTCCTCATCACTAAAGTCACCTGGAGAACTTCTGTCAAACATTAACTATGGAGCTGGGGATGTAGCTCAGTAGTATAGTGCTTGCCTAGTGTGTACATGGTCCTGGGTTCAATCCCCAACACTGCAAAAAAAATAAATCCTTAAAAAGTTAACTACAGTCATGCACTGCTTAAGAACTGGTCCTGTGTTCTGAGATATGAATCGGTAGCCAATTTCATCATTGTAGGAACAACATAGGATGTACTTATATGGACATGGATGATATAGCTTCCTACACTCCTGGACTGTGTGGTACAGATATGGCACAGCCTATTGTCCATGAGGAACAAAACAATGTGAGATTAAATCAAACACAAGAGAAAATAATACAACCAAGAGACCTGATTAGATATGAGATGTATGAGGGTGTCTCAAGCCAAACAGCATACTGCTTGTTTTTTGTTTTGTTTTGTTTTATCTGTGGTGCTAGGAATAGAGTCCAGGTCCTCACACATGCTAAGCAAGTTCTCTACTACTGAGCTATACCCCTAGCCCCATGCATACTCTTTTATAGTATCCTTTAAAAAAATAATTAGTACTTCATTCACTTCTTCCTCATAATCTATAAACAGGGCCAGTGTTCCCAGTGCTTTATTGCTACTGAACTATACACTGAAAAATGGTTAAAATGGTAAATTTTATGCTAGGTATATTTTAGCATAGTTTTTAAAAAGTAGGATGATAATAAAAACAAAAACAGATCCAAAACTTGCTGCCTAGAAAAGACTTTTGGCTTTAACTGATAGCTTCCCTCTCATTCAGACTTTCAGTTATCCTGTGGCCACTGTCTTGGTTTCCCACCTCCTTGTTTGTTCACTCTTCAGGACAAGTAGATTGGTTATGGATTCGTTTCTGACTATACTAAGAAGCATTTCCCTGCCACTGCCACCATTGCTGTTTCAGGCAACCTTCAAGTCAAGTGAAGGAGCACAGATAAGAGGAAACAGTTTGTCCCAAGCTCTCCAGCTTGAGCCTTGGAAGATAAGGAGCTAGAAAGGAGAAGTGGTTGCGCAACATTTGAGAATGTACCAAATACTGTGAGATTGTTCACTTTATTTATTTTTTTTTTTTTGAGACAGGGTCCTGTGTAGTTCAGGATGGCTGTGTACCCACTAAGTAGATTGACCTCAAACTCGGGGCAATCCTCCTGCCCCAGCCTCTCAAGTGCTGGGATTATAGGCGTGTGCCACCATGCCCAGCAGTGTTCACTTGAAATGGTTAATTTTACAGTGCATGAATTTTATCTCAAAGGGAAAAAGATCACTTCCCTTTTTTTTTGGTACCAGCGATCAAACTCAGGACCTTGCAGTTTTGAGGCAGGCATGATACCACTGAGCTAAATCCCCGTCCCACTTCCTTGACTGTATAAAACTGGGCACCAACCTTCTGTCCTCTGATCTTTGTGCACATCCTAACACAGAGCATTCTTTGGGAAGCACAGATACTGTACTATTTTTCCCAGAGATGCCTCTGCTTTCTGAAGTGCTCCTTTAGAGGATAATGAAAAAGGTCAAATCAGGCTTCCCTGAGGATGTAAGCTGTGACTTGTTCCTCCTCAGACCCTTGATAGCCCTAGCACATAGCATATGCTTGTTCTCATTTCAAAAGATGTGGTGGGCCAGGGATTTAGCTCAGTGGTTCTGCCGTCTGCCTTGAAAGTGCAAGGTCCTGAGTTCGATCCCCAGTACCCCCCCAAAAAAAGACATAGTATGCCATGTGAATAAGCAAAGCTCCAGTCAGATTGGTGGCATACCCTATAATCCCAGCACTTGGAGGCTGAGGCAGGAGGATCACCACAAGTTCAAGGCCAGCCTAAACTACTGTCTCAGCCCCCGCAAAAAAAGTTCTATTGTGAGATCTGCGATCACTGATTACCCTTTGGATTTGGGAAGTTTAGTGCCAGTGACCTGGACATCTGATAAAAGCTTGAGTTGGTTACTTCACATAACCTTCATTTTTGATGCAGGGATTACCTTGTAACAGCATCAGACAGGTAAGGTGTGGCAGCAATCCATGGGCAGGAATTGCCGAGTTTAGGATTCTAGAGCATGGGCAGCAACCCATTTTAGAGTTTGGATGTAAAATTATTTCAATCAAATGGAAAGGAAAGATGTTTTCTTAACTCTAAAATGGAAAGGCGATTCTTTTTTAATTTCTAACCTTTAAACCTGCCCATGTAGGATCATTTATCTGTTGTTTTGGAAAATAAATTATGTTATTTTAAATCAAGAAGAAACACCATCTTTGAGTTATGTAATATTGGTCTATTTCGAACTAGTCAGGTCTGAATAAAAAGTTCCAATCTCTGTTCTTCGGATTTATCACTGCTTCCCTTTCCTTCAGCTTTCCAAGGAGTCCTCTCAACCCATCGATATCCTCCGAGAAGAAGCTTCTGAAATCTTGGATGAAATGAGTCACAAACTGCGTGTGGGAGCCATTCGATTTTTTGCCTTTGCCTTGAGCAAAATATTTAAACAAATTTTCTCAAAAGTGTGTGTGAATGAAGAAGGTATTCAGAAAGTAAGTATTGATTCAGCTCCTCTAGGGATACTCAAGTTAAGGTCATCTGTCTCATTTGGCAGTAAATGCTTAGGTCCGGATCTTTTTGTATGTGTTTCCTGATGATTTTTGAATAGCAGGCCATTCCTTTCTCAGCAGCCCTTAAGATTGAACAATGCTGTCTCAGTGTTAGGCTTGGGTGCCCTTTGGCAGAAATGCCCCGAGGCTGCTGCATTTTTCTCCATGCTTCATGCATCCAGTCAGGAGCTTGTGGAGTCTGTCTCTATGTTACTTGATGATGTTCATGATTATACACTGGTGCCATCTGCTGGACTTCTCCATTGTAAAGTTACTACTTTTCCTCCGTAATTAATTATCTTGTGGAGAGACACTTTGAAAATAGTTCAGTATCCTGTTTTTTATCCCACCTGCCCCACTACTTTTGCATCTGCTGATGATTTTTGCTCAAATCAGCTGTTACTCTGATTGCCTGAAGATAATTCCCCCACTCCTATTGTTTTTTTTTTAATTATTGCATGTTTGTAGCACATAATGATTACATTCATCTTGAGGAGTTGGTACATGTACATAATACATCTTAATTCTTTTTTTAATTCCCTTTCCTCTTCTCAATCCCCCCTACTCCTGTTGTTTACTAGCTTGCTTTTTACTATAAGGAAAAGCTTTCTCTGTGAACAGTATTCATTTCTGTGTTGTTTTTTCCTTTGGCACCAGGGATTGAACTCTGGACCTTGCACTTGCGAGGCAGGTGCAGCGCCACTGAGCTAAATTCCTGGCCCTCATTTCTACGTTTTAATGCTTGTTTTCTTCTAGGTAGGAAAGCACCTACCTTCATTTATTTGCCTTCTTCCTCATGCCTCCTCCTGCTCCTCCTCCTCCTCCTCCTCAG